TAACCTAAACTTCCTTTCTTCCTTTCCAGCTTCATTTTTCACTACATCACTTATAATCTTAGGGCAACAGATAATGTATTTAGCTCATTCACCTTGTTGTTTATCTGTTCCGACCAGACTATAAGCTTCAGAGAGGTATGGTTTTGTGCTGTTCCCTTCACTGCTGTATACCCAGTGCCCAGAAGGGTGCCTGTTACATAAAGGCTCAATAAATATTTGCTGAATGAATTGAATGAAAACATTAAAAGAGATTTTTAGAATCAGGAAAATTAATGGGTGTGTATATATTGTGTTTGAGGAGATCAGGAAGAATTGATGGATGTGGATTTGGATATACAGAATATGAGGTATTTAATAGCTAAACAAGGACCAGAGTCTGTGGTGGGAGAAGCTGGGGTTGGTGATTTTCCCAAAGATAATGGCTGAAACTCAGCAAAAATAGATCTCTAAGAGGCACCTCAAATTCCACAAGTCCACAGCTAACTCTTTGGTGCCACTAAACTTGCCCTCTTTCAACAATGGGATCTAAGGCACACAAACAAACATCTAAAATACCTTCTTACATATTGTGCTCTGCTGTGTGGTTCAGGCATGCATCAGCCTGTGAACAGAATGCACACTTTGTAATGGTGACTGCGCATCATCAGATCTCAGTCGCAGAAGAACTCTGTCCATGGAATCAAATGGAAGCACATAAGGTCAGTAGAAATATTCAGGCAGGGCAACAGTAGACATCAACCTACTAACTCTTTGCGCCCTGGCAGACCAGTGAGTCTAAGTACTTAATATAAACAAAATCAGTGAAAAGGTTTTTCCTAAGAAACAGAATCACAGCCTGACCAAACCGAGTATCATCACAAACGTACGACTGCACTTTTGTGTTTGAAGCTTGAGCAATTCAACCACCATTGTTGTGGGCAAGGTTGAGTGAAGATGGGGACAGGATTCAGAGAAAACAGTTAAAGAAACAGGGCCCAATTTGAAAGCTAACAATTAACTCCAGGGATAGGAAAAAACACACTTGTCCCAGGACGCAGCGGACCCTAACACCTAGTTGCTTATGAAGAAGAAAATCCTGAAGAAATTACCCCCACGCGCGAGGACACTGCTTAAGGAAAGATTATTCTCCAGAATTGGTACTGTCCCTGTCAAATGGAACGATAAGAGTTTAAGTCACTGATTCAGGGTCTACAGAGCCTCATCATGGGCCCGACAGAAAGCGCAAGTGCTGTCAGGCAGCTCAACTCATATAATCGAGTAGGGCGCTGAGGGAAGACTAGTCATTCCAGGACTGAAAACAATCACGCGCCCTGGGAACCTAATGGAGAAGACACGGGCCTCCTAAAACCACTCCAGACTGTCCATGACTGCAGGGATTTTGGAACAGTCTAGTCAAACCAGTCACTCTCCAGAGGAGGAGACAAGGCCCAGAAAGGAAGAGCCACACGTTTGCACGGGCACAGTCAGCACTAGCTGGTGTTGAATCCAGAGCTCCACCGACTCACACGTGCAACTCTGGGTGATTTACCTTCTCTAAGGCCCTACTTGGTCAGCAGTGAAAGGGAACAGCAACTACAGTGCCAAGGGTATAGGGCTGTTGTAAATATCAAAGGAGGTAAGTGGGGTACATTTTCACCCTGGTACTTGGCACAGAGTTGCCAAAACCTCAATGTTAGCAACTACCCACTGCCTGCTACTATTACTGCCCTGATTGTTTGATCCAAAGAGTATCTGAGATTGGTTCTTACAAACTCTGTTCCATGACTCAGAGTCACTCAGTTACGGTGTTTACCTCATTTCACCAGACTGCTGGTCTGATACCTTATTTTTGAAATGTCAGCACGCCACCACCTCTCAAGCGCCTTATACCAGAGGCCCCATTTCTGGCTCTCACCTGTCAACAGTCAGCACACCTCCACACTATGTTTACAAGGCAGAGACCACCACCTGTCCCCCGAGGCTAGGACTATCCTGGTGGGGCCCCTCTTGGTTGTGGCAGCAGCTTGCTGGTGATGAAAAGGAATCCATCCAGGCAGTGATCGCAGAGGCCCAGACACATAAACAGGACTGCGTATCCCAGAGGGGAAACCACATAAGGAAGAACATGGAGGACATTAGGAGAAGGAAGGGAAAAATGAAGGGGGGGTGGGGACTCAGAGGGGGAGACAACCATGACAGACTATGGACTCTGGGAAACAAACTGAAGGTTTTAGAGGGGACGGGGTGGGGAGATAGGTGAGCCCAGTGGTGGGTATTAAGGAGGGCACGATTTTCATGGAGCACTGGGTGTTATATACAATGAATCAAGGAACACTACATCAAAAACCAATGACGTACCGTATGCTGACTAACAGAACAAAAAAATCATTTAAAAAAAAAAAAAGAAACCACAAATATCTTGATGTGCAAACTGAGAAACAAATAACCAAGACATGTTCTCTGTATAAGCATGGTCATTGCAGCAGAGTATTGTTTTTTTATACGTATCTCACTTTGTAACTTCTTGTAATAATCACCAATACTCTGGACGTGAGAAACCAACATCCAATCCCCTTCATTTCTGTCTGGGATGGGACCCTTCTAGGATTCTAACAGTACCATGTATACAGAACATAAAAACAAACGACGGGGTATGTAAATCACACAATTCAATGGATCAAAGTTTCATTTGGGATTGCTAATAATGTTACCACTATCAGCTGATAATATTGGCATGTAAAGATCATGATCTCTCTTCAGCAAGGATAGAGGGAGATCACTTTGCACAGAAAGGCAAACGACTCAGCTCTTAGTGGCCTGTTCATACATTCACGCGACATAAATATGGCTGACAGCTGCCCATGGGGGAATGAAAGAAAGCAATGCCAGGCTTCAGAAGTCCGTGACCCCATAAGCTGCCCTCCTAACATCACATTTGGCTCATTATGACATATAAAAGAAGTCTTGTTGCTCAGCAACAAGTAATACGCTGGCATTGAAGAAGAAACTAATCAATATAGTGTTGGCTAGAACTCTTTCATAAGCAAAAGTAAAACAATAATTCACTCTGAAATTCTCACTGCAGAGCATGCTCCCCTGTGAACTCATCTTTATGTCTACCACAGCACTAAGCTGAACAAATATTTATCATGGATTTTTTTTCACAAAATTACTATAGGGTGAGTACTAACCTGGATTGAAGGTTAAATTGAAAACAAGTCATAGAAATGACAGACAAGAAGTCACCTGTTACGGAATATGGTCAATAATATTGTAAAACAGTTAGAGTGGTAAGCATTTTGTAATGTATTGTAACTGTTAAATCACTATGTTGTACATCTGAAACTAATTTAATATTATATGTCAACTATACTTCAGTTAAAAATAAAAAGAGAGAGAGACACACACACACACACATAGATAGACAGATAGATAGCACCTGTTCTGTGTGGTAACATGGTTCAGGACTAAGAGAAGCATTCTTTGGGTGAGTACTAAAACCAAAGCCAATGTAATCTTGTACTTTACAAATGTCCTGTAAAAAGGAATGATAATCCCTTTTTCTAAATACAACACTTTAATAAGTTAAGCTTTATTAAAATTACCAAGAACAGAAATGTCTCTACTTTTAGAATATTAACAGTTTACTTTGAGTGTGGCCAGGCCCTGTGCTAAGTACTTTATATTCATTAAATCTTTACCACATCCTAGATAGAGGTAATGCTGTACTTTGTACTTTACAGCTGTGTAAACAGAATCAAGAAAGAGTAAGTAACGAGTCTAAGTCCGAGAGGCTAGTTAGTGACAATGTTAAGATCCCACATCACTGCCCGGTAGAATCATGTGCTAGAAATGATCTGTGTCTTTGCTGCCCAATTCAGAGCCACCAGCCACATGCGGCCTCTAGGCACCTGAAATGTGGTCAGCATGACTGAGGAATTCAATTTCCCATGACTTTAAGTGTATAAAGAGCCCCAGTACAAGAGTGGCTAGTGGCTGTAACACTGGACTGGACAGAACAGCTCTAGAGCCATGGTCATGGAACTACAGGCTGTAACCTAAATCTGGCCGGCAGCCGGTTTTAGCATGACCATGAGCTAAGAATATGCTTTATGTCTTTCTAAGTTTTAGAAAAGCAGCAGCAGCTCCAGAGACAGCATATGGCCCACAAAGCCTAAAATATTTACTATCTGGTGTTTTATAGAAAAAGTCCAGGGCCGCCTGGGGTGTTCAGTCAGTTAAGCAACTGTCTTCGGCTCAGGTCATGGTCCCAGCATCCTGGGATCGAGTCCCATCAGGCTCCCTGCTCAGCTGGGAGTCTGCTTCTCCCTCTTCCTCTGCTGCTCACCCTGCTTGTGCTCTTTCTCTCAAATAAATCAAGTCTTTAAAAAGAAAAAAAAAAAAATGTCCACAGCCTCCTGTCCTACAGCTGTCCTCTTAACACCAAAATCACTATCCTGGGAAAAGAGATTTCAAACCCAGTCTCCCAGTTTAAATCTTAACTGTATAAGGGTGGCATTCAGTCATGCCATGTGAGCATTGTCATATTTTCCATGGTAGTATTCAAGTGACCCAAGCACAAGCAAACGCAAAAAAATGCTAAGACTTGCCTAATTAAGTTCGCCACCAAAATACTACTTCACATTTAACAAACTGCTTGTGCATTCATTACCTCATGTTTTATTCAAAACCGCCTCATGTGCTGGATGCCCATTTCACAAAGGAGAAAACTGAGACACACGGGGCCCAATGCTACGCTCAAGTGGCAACTCCAAGTCCACTGGCCTCCCTAGGAAACAAGAGTTCTGTGGAAGCTGAAGAAAACGCACGAGTATGAGCATCCCACACCGTCGACTGATTCAGGCGGAACAGCTACAGTCACATGTTTTCTCGTCTTCGGGAGAAAGAGTCTCTGCTCTTCCACCCAATAAGCTGGTGCAGAGGGAGAGGTGGGGGCTGGGCTCCTCTGGGGCTGTGTCCAGTTTCTGGAACAGAAACAGCGTCGGGAAAGATAGAGCAGCTTTTCTGCAGGGGGCCTGGGAGGGGTGCTAAAAATCCACAGGAGCAGAGCGTTCAAGAGTCAGGGCCCCTCAAAAGTCAGAGCAGCTGTGGCCTCTTCTACCTGGCCATCAGGTGAGTGCACACACGAAGAAGGACACCATCTTTTAGCAATAACTGAGATATATCAGAAACTCACTGTGCTCTTTGAAATAGCTAGCCCAGGTCTCTCTGACACCCTGCACGGTGCTTCCTGGGTCCTGAGGCGTCTCTGGAACTTCCAGTGTGTGGCAAGCTACACTTTTTTTGTACTGGGCCCACTGATAGGTCTCAGATTTTCCTGTATGGTACATATGAGCCTTTGGTATTTTGATCCTTTTCTTCCGTTCTATACAGCACTGTCCAAGAAGAACCAATAGCTGCATGTGGCTATTTCAATTGAAGCAGATTAAAACTACATGATATTCAAGAATCTAGTTCCTCACTTGCATTCATGTGCCACTCAAACTGAAGAGCCACATGCGGTTAGTGGCTTCCATACTGGAGAGCATCCAGAACACGGCCATCATCACTAAACCCTATACTAGACTGTACTGCATTCCAGAACCGAATATTAAAGTAAGTATCATTAGAGACAAATACGTGAGGAGAGAGATCTGCTTTTGTTCTAACTTCTGACCGGCAAGATATCTATGCCACACAACCATTAACCAAACTATTTCTAGTAATTACTAAGCAAAGCCCTTCACCGCACCATAAATTCAACTCACGCATCATCATTTCTGAATACCTCCTTCCGCACGCTCCCCTTTGCCCAGCTGACAATTACATCATTAATCAATCTTTGCCTGGAAGTTCTACTTGGCAACTGAAACTTCCATATCTCCTTTCTCCACTGGGGGATTCGGGCCTTGATGATGTGCACTAAACATACTGAAATTGTGTATTACTGTATAAATCACTCAAGGCTTAGAAGCATTTGTGTATATTCCCTCCTATCTGGTTGGTTCTCGGTCGCCTCTAACAGCCTTCCTTGGCTCACTCACACTCTGCTCCATCTCTTGGGCCCACTCAGTCAGTTTTATAGTCTATTATAAATGTTCTCAGTGCAAACTTTAAGTAATTACTGTAGAAATCATTTCAGTCGTCAATTAGTTTGGGTAGCTCCAAAAGCAGAGCCTGAAGCAAGGACTTTGTTGCCGGTGGGTTTGGTGGGGGGAGCATATCCCAAAGCTGGAGCGAGGGTGCAAAGTGACAGATGAAAGGAGAAAGGCTCAAAGGTGTGCTACGAGGTTGCTAGTGTACACGGTAGGATCTCAAAGCTGCCCTGTGGAAGACTTGGAGTAAATGTCATCCTTAGCTGAGGCCTGCACTTTGAGGAAGCTCTTGGACAGGGGGCTAGTTGAGTGTGTGCAGCTCCGAAGGCAGAAGGTAGAAATGTGTACCGTGGCAGCAGAGGTGAGTTTCAGCTCGTGGGATTCCACTGCAGCCATGACTGAACCCAGGGCTGGGCCAGGAGGTGGTGAGGCAGCTTCCCTGAACAGGAGAAGTATGAGTATTTCCCCTACTGTAATTTCATTAAATGCCAACTGTGAACTTCCCTTGCTAACTTCTTCATCATCCGTTAGGACTCACCCTGAGTATTTATTTCCTTAAAGCTCTTGCTGCTCTGCCCACCTCCAACTGAGCTGGATGCTTTTTCTCTGGGCTCCCCCAGCACAACCACTGTACTCATCACAGTCCCCTGTATGTGTGTGCACACACTCTCTCTTTCTCCACTAGACTCTGAACTCCCCTGGGGGCAAAAACTGTCCTTCACCTCTAGAAATGCTGTTCCTATCAGACTGCCAGGCACAGCAGTGCGTAATACCTGTCCTCCCGTCAGTGAACGGAAGGAAGGAAAGAGGGAATAGCACACCTAGACATCAAACAGGAAGTGAGGAGCCCAAATCTCTATCCATCTTTATGCTCTCCTTTAATGAAGCACAAGATAAAGGGCCCAGTCCCACTGAAATTAAACAGGCATTTGTAGAACTCTGTACTCCCCATGTTATTTCATTTAATCCACAACACCCTGGTCAGTTAAACTATATTTCATCAGACCTGAGACATCATTGATTATTCAACGTTACATTATTTGATTTACCATTAGGAAAGAAACAAATACTGCCAAAATAAATGAAAGATGATATTGACTGTAAGACAAGTACTGACTTCAGAAATACAAAAATGTAGGAGAGAAAAGCTTTGTACTTTCTAGAATTTTTGAAACGTCTTTATTTCCCACCTGATTTCAAAAAAAGATCAAAGTTGGCAATCTTGAGATTGCCAATCTCTCAGGATTTTACAAATTTTTTAAATCTCTCAGGATTTTACCATTTTACCAATAAAAACAGATATTTGGGGACTCTAAGGAAGCCAGTCTGTGTTTCCTTAGTATTCTTCTCTGTCCATTTCATGAGGCCCACTCCTCACTCTGGCAAGTCCTCTGCTCGAGAAACCCTTTGATGAACTCACTTGCGCTGAGAAGGAGCTTACAAGGATAGTCTTCTTGAGACACCCATGGATATTTGCAACTCTTACACTTGAAACAGAGAAGCAAAAAACCGTGATTGAGGGTTGCACCCCAAAGTAAAAACAAACCTAAGCATCCCTGTCAGAATAAATATCGACACAAATTCTAAATTCCTAGGGAAAAAAGACTGCATTGTGGAAATAAGTGAGAAATGTAAAAGAAAGTTCTTGTGCATGTCTACAGCAGACACCCAATAAGACTGTGAGTCTGAGAGGCAGTGGAACTGGTGGTAGGAAATGACATCACTGTTTTGCTTTCTTTTGAAGAGTCAAGCAAAGGGGTACAGATCCTGGACTACCGATGACAAATAGCCAGTCGCCTTCCCCCCTCCCTAAACCTAAGAATAATGAATTTAGTTGAGACCCAAGAAGAGGAAGAAGGAAAAAGAAACCATGGTGGTAATTTTAATTCGCCCTCTGTGTCCAACTGACAGCTTGCAATATACCCCATGCCTTTTATCCTCCCCTCCTCATGTAGCAGGCAGCCTCACCCAGCTAATGAACATCGGACAGTGGCTCACTGCTTTGTAATGCGCCAGCACTTCCCCTCCCCCTTGCGGGCTCTCCTGCTCTCCCCAACCTATTAGCAAGTAGGCCTGGCACAATGTCCACGTTACCATGTGGTGCGCCTGGGCAGGAACACACGGAGGGCTCCCCTGGGCTATGGAGGCAGGTGGTACCCGTTCTAAACAGAGATGACGAAAAGATGCTTGTGCCAGAATATTTTTCTTTCCAGGGCGAAGAGATGGGAATTGAAAGGGAGGTGTAAGATGTGCATAAAGGACTGACTGTCTTTTCCTGCTGCCAGTAAACACTATGCTTCAGGCTAACTGCAAAAGGGAATTTTTTTAAAGAGGGCTTTCATTTTTAATTTTGCAAAATGGATTCAACCAACAGACTAGCATGTGTGTGCACACAATGCTGTTTTCATTTTTAAAGTCCTCTATAGAGCCTGCAGAAACCTGTTTTACAGAGAGCACCATTAAAACACTTCAAATTCACCACACAGTTGAACAAGGGCTGGGTAGGGTGGGGGACAAACATTTCTGTCAACAAAGAAGACACCTATTCGGTATCTTTGGTTTTAATTTTAGGGTGGGAGCGGGGTGGCAGAGAGTCACGAAGGACAGAACAAAGGAATAGTCATTTCTCTGTTTCAAATAGTTTATCCAGAAGTTAAATATATACCTCACTTGGCAATTAAATCTTTTCACTTAGCTCATGAACATGAAAATGGACATATCATTTGGCAATATTTGAATTCTAGTGCATCTCGAGTAGGGAGGGATTATTCAATACAATAACCCAGATGTAGTCTGCTTAACATTAATACTTCCCCTGGACTCTACTCTGTGCTTCTATAATATCATCTACATTTTTCAACTGCCTTATCATACATTAACTTACTGAATTTGTGACAAATTACACCCTCCACTTCTCCCCACCCCAGAGTTGTGCAATTAATTTTTTAAACCTAATTTAAAGATTTTATATTTATCTTTACTATTTTTTACCCAGTTATTTCTGGTGCATCATTTTAGATTACCAAGATTTTCTTGACTCAAGATCAAGTCACTAATCATATTAGCTGTCCCTCCCAGCCTTGTGTCAACTGCCAATTTGATAAACGTGTCTTCATCACAGTCATTGATAAAAATTATGAACAAGACAAGTCTGAAGGCTCAGCTCTGCACAGCTTCGCTATAAATATTCCTGCAGGTTAATATTAAATTGATAATCCACACTCTGGAAAGGTCTGTCCAAATAGATACAAATGCATTATTCTTCTGCCCCGCCCACAATTCTCCATGTTACTCAAACGCTTCGTGGATATCCAGATATGCGATATACTATATGGTCTCAGTCTGCTGTTAGATAAATGTAGGTACTGACTTCAGTGGAAAGAGAGATGGAAGAGCGGGGAAGGTTTTGAGGCAAGGCCATAACAACTGTCCAGGCACCTCTTGGGCCCAAGGAAGCAGTTAATAAACACAACTTTCTTTCTACCCAGAACTCCATCTTCCACATCAGGGAATGCTAATCTGATGGCTTACATGTGATTGTTGGGTTAAAAACCTAAGATTTCATCATCAGGAAAAAGACAAATTAAAGGCAAAGCCTGAAATTAAAAAAAACCCTACCTCAAACAGTGAAAGCATAAAATTCAAGCTCTTGGCAATGTCTTTTTCGCCAGGTGCTTGACATGCTGTACCGGGAGAGGCCGTGAGCTGGGTCTCAGGAGACACAGCCCCAGAGCCCCCAGGAGATGGTCTGTCCCCAGTTCTGTCATTTGTCCTACAATATTTCGATCACCTCATCTGTAAACAGAGGCCACTAAGCTACGAGTCACCCCGTTATTGGCTCTCTTCAATCCTGCACAAACCTTTCCTTGCCCTTATGCAGCCTACTCCCTCTTCTAGATAGGGGTGGGGTGGGGCCGGTGGGCCAACCTGCCAAAGACAAGAAAACTCAACACCCTGTGCGAATGACTGTGCCAACGTATCTTGCATTCGCTTGCTTACTATAGTGGAGAGGCGTAGGAGCCACATTCGCAAATGTGAGAGGACAAACTATTAGTTCCCGAATCTGCCAGTCATCCTTTCTCCTGTTCCGTGGGAGCAGAGGGCTGCACTAGGACAGTGCATATCAAGATGGCTAGCTGATTAAAATCTTACCAAAAAAGGGGAGGTGGCACCTGGGTGGCTCAGTTAATTAAGCATCTGTCTTTGGCTCAGGTCATGATCTCAGGGTCCTGGGATGGAGCCCCATGTTGGACTCCCTGCTTAGTGGGGAGTCTGCTTGTCCCTCTGCCCCTCCCCGCTCATGTCCTCTCTCTCTCTAGCTCTCTCAAAAAAAAAAAAAAAAAAAATTAAAATTAATATAAAATAAAATAATAAAATAATAAAATAAAATAAAATAAAAGATGGCTAGCTGGTGTCTGCCTGAGACCATATACTTGGGTGTGGCAGTGTAGGTTTCAGCTTAACTGCCTTAAAGCTGTTAGTTAACCTTTGAAATTAAGTTGTAAGGTGGTCAATACTATTAGTTCAAATCAGAATGTTCTTCTTAAAATGATCCCGGAGTTTTATAAATACAATACCACCTAAACTGGGTCATTGCACAGGGCTGTGGAAATTGTTTTATTATGCAGAGATGTGAGCTGTAACAGCATTTGTTCCAAGATGCTATAACTTTTATAGATATATTATGCAAAAGGAAAGTTGGGAATCAGAAAGATGAATAAAATATAAAAGATAAACAACTGCATATTAGAAATGGTTTTATGATCTGGGGAGACAAACCTAGATGAATATGTGGAGACCTTCTAGTTCTGGGTTTTCAAGAAGAGACTGCCCGGGAATAATACTTCATGACACCAGCGGAAAGAATAACTCAATCCCTGGTCCAGATTCCTAAAACATCCTATGTCATGTTGCCTCTCTGATGGTGGCCCCCACTGGAATAGAAGATAACCAATTTTAGGGGTTCCTGGGTGGCTCAGTTGGTTAAGCGGCTGCCTTCAGCTTGGGTCCTGATCCTAGAGTCCCGGGATCAAGTCCCCCATCAGGCTCCCTGCTTCTCCCTCTGACCTCTCTCTTCTCATGCTCTCTCTCTCATTCTCTCTCTCAAATAAATAAATCTTCTTTAAAAATTTTAAAAAAATTAAAAAAACAAAAAAGAAGATAGCCGGTTTTGAACAGAATGGGTAGAATAGAGCTTTGCCAAGGAAAAAGAGCAGACAAGCCTATCACATTTTATAGGCAACATGCTAACTACTCTGACATGCTGGACCACAATAAGAACTCCTGGACACACGTGTCACAAGTGAAAATATCTGCGTAGAGGAGCCCAACGCATGCCAGCAGCACAGGCTTCTGGGTAAGAGGCATCCCCAAGGGTGTCCAAGAAATGTAGAGTCACGTGTTAAGCACACTGGCATTTTTAAGCCAACGTTTCACTATATGACACATAACACTTTTATATATTAAAATTAATACGAATATAGGACGGTACTGATAATATTTGTATATTTTATAGTCAAGAAAAGACAGGAGGCTTGTGAAAATATTTACTCTTGGAATAAGCATTGGGACTCTGTCTTATTCACCCACGGGACTGAGCACCCTCTCCTCTGAGAACGGGGACAATCCTGGGAAAGCAATGCCACATGGCCTCCAAAAGTAGATGATGAAACTGCAGTCACCTGGCCATTCACAGCTGCTCAGAGTAGGTCAAGAGACAGCCCGAAGTAGCAGCAATGTAGGGCAAAGGTAGGAAAGCTAC